ATAATCATACAATAACAATATCAAACAGAAAATACCATACAAATTTTAAATTACACAATAAACTAAATGAAAGGATATAAACCTGGGATTAATGAATTGTAATCATCAACGACCAATGAATTCGCATCAATCTCATCAATCGTATTGCTTCTACCTATTGTTTCATTCATGTTTCCAAAGACAGAAAAGGAAGAATAGTACGAACGAGAGAGAATATATAACAATGTGAGTGAGAGGGAATAGGAAAGAAAGAAGAATTTCAAAAAAGGAAAGGAGGAAGAATGATAGAAATCAGCCGTCTAGAGGAATTAACGACGACGTCTAACTCGCGCTATTGTTTATGATTAAAACGACGTCGTTTAGAAGCCTGGACCACAATGCATTGTGGACCGTGGTCTACAGTAAAATTTTCCTACTGAATTCTACTACGTGTATTTCAAATTCTACTTCCTCACTTTTACCAATTGTTATACCATGAACAAGGATTCATATTGCATTGTGAACCATGATACAAAAATTATGTACCTTTAGTTAACGCATTCTGTACCCTACAGTTAACTGCTTCTGTACATGTAAACAAATAACTTGATAATTGTTGACACAAAATATGATAGCTACAGGCACAGAAACTATCAACTGCATGTATAGAATGTGTCAACTATAGATACAGAATCTAACTTGATAAATGCTGACACATAATATGATAGCTACATGTACAAAAACTATAAACTGCAAGTACAAAATATGTCAACTATAGATACATAATCTAAAGATTATTTTTGGACCAGGGTCAATAATGCAAGGTAGATCTTGGTCCATGGTATAATTTGCCCACTTTTACTCCATGATGTGGCAAACAAGGATAGGATATTTTCATCGTCTCACGAAAAGTGTCTACATCAAAGATTTGTAAGTGGGAATAAAAGTTGGGAGTAAGAAGTGAGAGTACATGTAGTATTTTCCCTTATCACTACTACTAGTTGTGTGCGATTAAAAATATCCAATGAAAAAGAAGTACAATTATATTATTAAAATAGATAAAGAAACACATAAATTTTATAAAGAGTTAATTACCAATTTGGCCCCTCAACTATGAGGATTTCACTATTTTGGTCCTCGACTTTCAAAATTGACCAATTTCATCCTCAACTATGAAAACGTTAACCAAAATGATCCTTAGTCTATTTTACCGTCAAAATGCAAGGGTAAAATAGGAAGTTCCAATATTCATATTCTTAGCCAACAAGCTTCGCCACCACCGCCGGATACACAGCTCACCGGAACTCATTGCCAAGCTGGAGAGTCGCTAGAAACAGGGGAGAGGGAGAGAGCTGCTACGCCGGAGAAGTTGCACTGCTAGAGGGCTGTGTTCGCGTCGGACGTTGGAGCTCGCCAGATCTTCTTGTCGTTCGTCGCTGTCCTTGCTTAGAAGGACTAGCCCACCTCCGTAGGAGCACCCGCGTAGCTCTACTGCTGAGCTTGGAGTAACCCCTGCATATAGTATTGCATCAAGCCTTCGCCTTGCTTCATCGACTTCGCAGAACAGCTCTCCTCTCTCTCTGATTCGGGTTGGGTCTTCTCTACACCAGCTATTGCCATTTTTTCTGATTCCTGGTAATAGGTTTCCAATAATAGTTCCACGGTGAAGAAGAAGAATGAGAGAGCTCTGATTAGGCGGTGGGTTGGAATTGAGATTGGATTCTACAGATTGTTCTTTTCTTGGAGGATTGGAAACCTATAATTTGGGAATTACACTAACCGCCTCAATGTTTATTTTTATTCGATGACTGCTCAGGGTGCCAAAATGCCCAGCAAATATGAGTGAGTGGATCTGTGTTTCGTGCACGAAGGGAGACCATTAAAATTGATAGAACTACATAGATCCGGGTTCCCCACGAAGCTTGATAGAAAAAAACTGTTATCAAACTCAAAAGGAACTTTCCCTACGCTTGTCGCTGACCTGCCTCGCCAGAGAGGAAGGAGGTCGAGAACAGTCGCCGTCGATCTGCCTAGTCCTCCGCTACCCGAGGTTACCGCCGTCGACTGGAGAAGGGAAGGAGTCGTGTTGCCGCCGGTGGTTGTAGGTACAGACGAAACGGAGACTCAGCTCACCATCTCAAGGAAGAGGGCTGCTACTCGCTGGATCTATGTTGCTGGGTGAGAAGAAGGAGAGACGAAGCTTCGCCGGCATTCAGCTCACCATCTCAAGGAAGAGGGTTGCTACTTGCTGGATCTATGCTCGAGAAGAAAAAGGAGAGACGGAGCTTCACTGGCAGTTGCTCTCCACCTCCGTAAGCGTCGCCGGCAATTGCTTGACACACCCAGAAGGCTTAAACAATGAAATTACATTTTTATCCTCCATTTTAACGTCTCACAAACGACTACTTTAATTGAGGACTAACTCGGTAAGAAATAGCATAGTTGAGGATGCAATTGGTTAATTTTGAAAGTCGAAGACCAAAGTGGTGAAATCCTCACAGTCGATGGATCAAATCGATAATTAACTCTTTTATAAATATTAGAAGATTTAATTTTGATTTTGATGATAAAAAAAAAAAATTAAAAAAGAAGATTTTTGCCTCACATAAATTTCTACAAAATTTAGATTAGTATGTATTGTATTTCAAAATGATCACATTTTTTGCAAATGTAAATAATTTTTTTTCCTGATTATGTTTTATATTCTAATTAGAGTTTTAATGCAATACTATTATAAATGAAACAAGAATGTTTTGGTGACAATAAGTGAAAAATGCATATATTTCACATCAAGACAAACTCTTTTAGATAAAGTGAATTTTTATTTTTATTTATTTAAAAGTTAAAAGGTTCCCAATGAAATGTCGCATGTTCAAGTTTCATTTCAGTTCAAGGGTTGACATATTATATAAAATAGTTTCAAATTTGGAATCATATTAGAATGAATACACATTATTCACTAAGGGTGTGTTTGGTTCATGAGTTTACACACTAGGATTAAGAATCAAAATCATAGTTAGTATTTGATTGACAATTTTTTAAAAATACAACTATGGGATTTGATTACCTCTTCAATTAAAAAATATATTTCCTAATTACAAAGGGGTATCATTCCATCTTATTTGGTAATCTAATTTTTACGTTTGGATTAGTACTTTTAGATTTTTGTTTAGATTTTTTTTTTCATATAGATGCTTTGGATGTCATTATATTATGATCAATTACCTTGATTTTTTATTTTTGTATTTTTAAAACATTTATTTATTCCCATTATAGGGTCATACATAACGAAACATCAATATTGGTAATCATTCCAATTCCACCCTACTACCAAACATGCAAAATACTTTCACCAAAACTCATTACCATTACCAAGTGTTTGATTCATATTCCGAATCCGATTCCCATGTGCAAATCAATGAATAAATTTTACTTTTTGTCCTTTGACTATTATACATGAATCGCATTTGGTCATTGACTATTAAAATTTTCTAGTTAGGTGTATGACTATGTAATTTGTATCACATTTGGTCATGTCATCCAATTCCCCAGCCAACTATTGCCAGAAATGCTCCTTTCGGAAGGAGCACTGCATTTGTTTCTTTTGGAACGAGCACTTTCGGAAAGGAACACTGTATTTGCTTATTTCTGACTACTAGACCGTTGCTTCCCTTTTTTTCTTTTTTTCTTTTTTTTTTTCTAAAAAAAAATGGTCAGATTTTTTTCTTTTCTTTTTCTCTTCCATTTTTCTCTCTCCTACATCGCTACCTAAACAACTGTACAAAAACTCAACAGATGTGGATGCTCTTAGGGCATCCTCAATAGTGAGGTTTTTTGTGTGGTTTTGAGGTGCCAAGTAGGAGAGAGATGAGGGAAAGAGAAGAAGAAGAAAAAAAATGGTCTTTGACGCAGAAAACAAAAAAGAAATAAAGTTGTGACACGCCCGGCTAGTCGTCATTTTTGCGCGAGACGCGCATTGCTGCGCGTAAGATAGTCATTTGACCTATGTGTGGGACCCACAAAAAACACCCTCAGGAGGAGCTCTATATTTCTCTCTCGTTCCTCTCTCTCATCCACCTCACTCATTTTGCCTCAAAATCTCATCCAAAATCCACTAATGTGGATGGCCTTAGAAAATAAGAGTTGATCTCATGAGAAACTTTTTCATAACTCAAAAAATGATGAGGAAATATTTGATGCACCATCGTTGTATAGGTGCTATACAACGGCGGTGAATTAGATTATGCCACCTCATTAAATGTAAATTCAACTTTAACTAAATCCTTTTATGCAAATTATAATAATTCTTAATTCTTAATATGGTATAATTATAATTATTTTATGTTACTAAAAATAATTAATTTTTTTTTGGGAGGGGGAAGCGGGGGTTACCCAACTAAACTAGGGGCTAGCACTAGCAACCACATTCACCACAATATCCATACTCATGATGTCACAGATTTCTCTTGGTTGACAGTGAAAGTCGATCCAATCGCAATGTCTTCGTGGAGCTTCCCTTGCCAACCAATCAGCAGCATCATTCTTCTCCCTGGGGATATAGTATACAATAACAGACCAATCCTTCCCAATCCAATCCTTGCACCAATTGACCAAGATACCATAGTGTCCAAGGAGGTTAGGATCACCTTTTAACCACTCCACCGCTTGTTGCGAGTCGCTTAGTCGCTTAGCAATTGTATTCTCCATTTTCCTTGCTCCCATGCCCATTTGAGACCGAGGCACATCGCCCAAAGCTCAGCCTCAGTTGAGTTTTCTATCCTCATCATGCAACTAAAGCCTCTAATCCATTGGCCTCTGTGATCGCGTAGGATTCCTCCACACCCAGTCATTTGACTCCCCGGTGAGAATGAAGCATCCGTTTGTAGAGTCGTCCACTCTAGGCTAGTAGGTCTTCACGTTTGCACCGTCTACCGTGCCACCTTATGTAGATTTTGGCATGAAAAGGCAGTAGTCGTGGTTGCCAGTTGCTCCTTAATCCAGTCTATCTTCTTTGCCAGGTCCTAGCACACATCGTTGAAGGTTTTGTTACAACGCCACTTCCAAGTCCACCACGCAATTATCACGAACAGGACGCTCCAGCCACCATCCTTCCCGCCGTCCAGTTTTCCTGTTACATTACGAGTTAGCCAAGTATCAAAGTTTGACCGGTAAAACCACCTTTTAGCCCCATAGGGTAAGAAAACTTCCCATAATTCTTTTGCCACCGCGCAGTCCCGCAAGCAATGGAGGATGTCTTCCTCGTGCATGTAGCAACTCGTGCACCTTCCATTGACAATGAAGCCGTGGTGTTTACGTTCAGCGTTTGTCATTAGCGTTTTATGTTTCAAAAGCCATACAAAGCTATTAATCCTCCTAGGCACCTTCAATTTCCAGATTGACTTCCATATACTGTCATCCTCTCCTGTGTCTAAATTTAGTGCAAGCCTGTAGGCGGAGGTGACCGAACAGCGTCCTTTTGGCTCCAACTTCCAGTACAGTTCATTGTTGTTGATATTACGGCACTCACCTTCTAGTAGAATGGGGTGAGCCTCGCAAATTCCACGCCAAAGATTTGAGCAGTTCTTTTTCTTTATGAAGTCTCCCTGTTCCAGATTGCCTTGCATGTACTTTCCCAAGATGACTTTGGTCCAGCGACTACCTTTTTCCGTGTGTAGCCTCCATCCTAGCTTCGTCAAGAAGGCTAGATTCATTCCCTTTAGCCTTCTTAGGCCAATACCCCCTTGCTCTTTAGGTTTGGTGATAGTTTCCCAGTTTACCAGGTGAATGCTACCTCTCCAAACAAATTGTCTTATTCTTCGCTCAATGGTATCACAATCTCCTTTAGGAAAAAACATTGATTACATCATGTAGTAGGGTGTTGCATTTAGGACACTTTGGGCGAGAGTGATACGGCCTGCCAAGCTCAGGTTTTTTCTTTTCCAACCCTCCAGGTTCCCATCTATTTTTTCAATTAAGGACGCAAAATCGTTGTTCGTAACTCTCCCGTGGATTGAAGGCACTCCGAGGTACCTTCCAAGGTTATCTGTTTGAACGAAACCTGCCTCTTGAGCTATGCTATGTGCCAAGGTTGAATTAACATTCTTGCCAAAGTGAATTTGAGATTTCTGTACACAAACTTTCTGACCCGAGTCGTCCTCGAATTTCTGGAGACATGACTTGATCACCTTCATTTGTTCTAAAGTTGCCTATGCAATTAACATCATATCATCAGCGAAAAACAAATGGGTTAGTTCAGGTCCATACCTTGAGAGCTTGACACCTTTCCACCTCTTGTTCTGGACTTCTTTTTTATGAGTCGGCTTAGCCGTTCCATGCAAAGAACAAACAATTACGGTGAAATCGGATCCCCTTGTCTAAGGCCTCTGGTCGAGTTGATCCACTACAGCTGGGTACCCTTCCATAGGACTACCAGCCTCGGGGTCCTTACACACTCCATTATAATGTTAATCCAGTGTCTTTCCATGCCTAGACCTTGCAGCGTGTCCTGAAGAAAGTCCCATGAAAGTCTATCGTAAGCTTTCTCAATGTCAATCTTTACGGTCATTGCTTTTAGGCCACCCCTTTTTGTCCTCATGGTATGGAGGAGTTCCTGGTAGGTCGCGATACTGTCCACGATTTGGCGTTGCGGGACAAAACTACTTTGTTCATTTCCGACCACTTGAGGCATAATGTTTTTCAAGCGGTTGGTTATGACCTTGGTGACTATTTTGTACTTGACGTTACAAAGGATAATTGGACGGAATTGTGTGATAAGCTCAGGATGCTTCACTTTAGAAATTAAGGCTAGCAACGTGTTGTTCCAATTGGTATGCATCTTCGCAGTCTTGAAGAATTCCAAAATTTTTTCAGTGAGCTCCTTTCCAATGTGGTTCCACGTCTTTTGGTAGAAGGCTACATGGAATCCGTCTGGTCCCGGTGCCTTATAAGGTGCCATGTCAAATAAGGCAGCCTTGATTTCCTCCATGTGCACATTCCTGCAAACAGAACGTATATCAGTTTGGTTAAGGGTATCCACATTCGGGCAAGCATAGCTTCCATCTGTATAAGGTGGTTCCTCCGTGAAGAAGGATCAGAAGTGAGCCTGAAACATCCTTTGAATTAGCTCTTCATCAGTGATCCAAATCCCGTCACTGGTCTTTAAGTTCGTGGCTAGATTTCTTGTTTTCTTTACTTTAGTAATGGCATGGTAATATTTTGTATTTCTATCTCCAGAAGCCACCCATTCCTCTCTTGATCTTTGGAACCAAGTTAATTCTTCTTTGTACATAATATCATCTAACGCTATCCTCGGCTTAGCTTCCAACTTAATTAGCCCGCCTCGCTTTCCATAATTCTTGGCTCTTTGTATACCATCCATTCTAGCAATAATTTTCTTCCTTTTTTTTTTCTAGATCACCAATCACATTTTTACTCCAAGCCTGAAGTGCCAAGGCCGTTGCATTCAATTTTGCATCGAAATCAGTAACATTTGTGTCCTTCCACGTGCTTCTAATGAAATTATCAAACACCTCATGAGTTCCTCAAACTGCTTGGTACTGGAATCTTTTGGCTTATTATAAATAGACCGATCTTCCAGAGAGAGCATGATAGGGTAATGGTCAGACGATAAGCTCGGAAGGTGTGTCACCATTGCATTTGGAAAAAGATCCAGCCATGTTTCCGTGCAAAGACATCTATCAAGGCGCGCAGCTTTGAACGTATCAATTTTCGTTCCTCGCCTCCACGTATACTGAGAGCTGTTAAACCCCAAGTCAATCAAGCTTTCTCGGCTGATCCAATCCGTGAAGTCTTTGCTGCGTCTAACATCAAAATTTCTTGGACAATTCACCTCTTCACTATGCGTGACTGAGTTGAAGTCCCCCAGTGTAACCCAAGCTTCTTTCAAGCCACAACTTCCCTTTCCTAGTTCCAGCCAGAGCTTGCGTCAGAGGCTTTGGGAGGGGCTGCCATACACAACTGCAATATTACATAACATATTACCGTTATTTTTTATTTCCATGGTAACAAATTGTGCATTAGTTCGTCTGATATTCAGATTTAGGGAATTATTCCAAAGGATCCATATTCCTCCACTCAATTCTACCACTTCTACTCTCAACCACGTCAAAACCAAGCTTAATACAGGTCTCTTCAGCACCAATACCTGAAGACTTTGGTTCAAGAACACAGAAACAAATTAGGCTTGTGTTGCCTAATCATTGTCATGGCAGCCCTAAGAAACCTCTTAGAGGCTGCACCTTGGCAATTCCATGTTATTATCTTCATGGAAAGACACAACAGGGGCAACAACAAACAAACAAAAAAACAAACAAACAAAAAAAAACAAAAAAAAAAAAAAAACAAAGGAAAACAGACGCAAGAAGGGCCTATGCAGCAACCCCATCCGAGGTGCCACTACGACCATGATCCTCAGTACACTCGTGCCATGGTTCTTCATCCATCTGCTCAAGGTTAAAGTCGGGAGGATCACCATGATGTTCATTGTTATCCTCCTCCATACTTACCTGAAAGTCAGCACTATCATTATTATTGAGGCAGATTGTGCTAACCGATGACCTATCACTCATGTTTCCTCTTGCAATTATGTGTGTGTCTCCTGCAGCAGCCTGGTTGGCTCGACTATGCCTTCTCGAAGGACCCGCCTCCTCTGAGGCATGTGCGTGGGTTTTCTTTCCTGCTTGCATGGCACTTGGTCTCGCATTAGTATCATTAGTTACCTGTTTTTCTGATATTTGCACATTAGGCCTCCTTGTTTTCTCCTTATTTTTACTCCCAGATTTCTCCCTTCTGTGCATGTGATTATCCTCTCGGGATTCCTTATTTATCTCCACAATCTCCTCATTGGGCTCCTCCAAATCCTCCTCATTGATTACAGTAAACATGGAAGGTACACCTATTCCTTGATCCACTGTCTCCTTTCCTTTATTCTTTCCAATTTGTGTTCCCTTGTCAGTGCTAAAAGAGTCGTTAATTCCTTGATGGTCATGCAATTCGTTTCCTTTTTGCACGTGATTCCTTCCATTATTAGCACGATTTTGCCTGTACTGTCTCTTTGGAGCTAACATCCATATACCATATCTTTCCACGATTTCCGGCCTAATCAGTGCGGGTTGATCGTTTTCCTTATTTGGTGTTTGTTTCCCTTCTCCCGGAGCTCCGCCTATCTCCGCCTCCGCAACCTCCTCCTCCGCCTTGAGTTGGGGACATTGTTCTACTGCCGTAGACGCCACAGTGAAAGCATATTTGGTATATTCCCTCATATTCTATCCTTCGAACCTTTAGCTTAGCCGTGAACTTTGAAAGGAGCGGTTTTGTGATATCAACTTCCACGCACATCCTCGCAAATTGCCCCTCAGAACCTATGCTTGTCATCTGATCAATGTACTTCGGATCACCAATTCGTTTTCCCAATTTCATGAGGTAAGGATAGTTGTAATATTCCATTGGGAGGTCGGGGAAGCGAACCCAAACCAAAACACGTTCTGTCTTGTCCGATTTGGGATCGAAGTTTGGCTTCCATTCCTGCACAATTAGATATGATCCATCACCGTCCAAGGACCACCGTACTTGGAAAAACTCATAATCATCCACCGACCAAAATTTAACGACATGGTAGATATCATCCAGCGCCACCACGTCCATCCTAGACTTCGATCTCCATATGGCATTCAGGCGTTTTGTGAGGTATGTATGGCCCACCTTCCTCCCTAAGACCTTCACTATCAAAGATTGACGACATGGTTTCCTCATCCTTATCTTATCATCCCTTGTTAGAGGGATTTCGGGGCATTCCGAATCCTCATCCAAGTCAACTTCGTCATCGTCCGATTCCAAGTAATTTGGTTCCTTTTCCTTGGCCTTGTCTCCAGTAAGCATGTCTCTGAATGAGGTGGCCATTGGTGGAGTCATGGTTGGGGGCGTTTGATTAGATCCCGGTACAGAGTTAACTGCTAGCACAGTTCTCTCTTGTGTTTCAGAATCCGGCAATGGATAGCTTCCCATTCCATTGTTAGGATTTGACTCTGTGTTCTCCTTACTACCTTCAGACTGTTCCACACCATCCATAGAAACCCCTCCGTCGAAAGTTATAGGTGCGTGGCCGTCCGTTTTGGATTTCTTCGTACTGCGTTCCAGAAGATCTTCATCTTCCGCCATTCGCGTTGCCACCGTCGTGGCTCTTCGTTGGCCTTCTGATGCCTTCGTCGTTGAGAGCATCCCTAAATCCCTAAGCATTATGCTACATCTACAAACTCAACCAATCTAGACTAATTCCACTGTACCAGTGCGGCTATACCTCATTGACAAAGAAAGAACAGTGCAAAATAATTAGAATTCACCAAACTAATTTAAAGAGTTCCCTTGGCTGCAATTATCATGTGTGTCTCACTTCACTAGCAATTCGAGGTTGGAGTGTCAACAATAATAAATTTTCTCATTTTTGGGTATTCTTCCTTGGTTTGTATGGAATACCCAACGCGTACCGATTTATTTGGGTATTCTTCCTTGGTTTGTATGGAATATCATTCCCGGGAATAGTCCTATTCCATTGTTTGGTTTGTCTTTTCATGGCTGGGAATAGCATTCCCGGGAATGAGCTATTCCCTTTGCAGGGGGGAATAGCCATTCCTAGGGGACCCCTGGTATTTGCTATTCCCAAGTATTTGGGAATAGCTTATGTACTCTAATACCGAAAATACCATTTTCGTGTGTGTGTGTGTGTGTGTGTGTGTGTGTGTGTATATATATATATATATATATATATATATATATATATATATATATATATATATATATATATACACCAAAAAATATAATACAATTCCTATTCTATTCCTTGCTCATTCCATTCCTTATGGAATAGCATTTCTATTACCTCAAAATTCATTTCATGAACCAAACGTGTTGTTAATGTAGTAGTTTGTATATGTGGGTATCCCCTTCTCTTATAATAAAAAGACAAATTCATAGCAGTAAAGATTTGGGAGAAATTAAGCAAAGAGAAAAAACTATAACCATTGAATCCGACTACATATTTAAATTATTGAAACCATTAAATATTTAGTTTGGTGAATTCTAATTATTTTTTAATAGTTGAGTTTGTAGATGTCTACTTCTACTATACTAATAAGAGTCCAAGAGAGTTAGGCTTATAATGGGTAGAAAAATAACAGTCAAATTTTTTAATCAAATGAATGGGTCTGATTGATCATATTTTAATTTTTCCTTAAGATTTCCTAATTTATCCTTAATGAATATGATTATCCGTTAACTTTTCCGTTAAATATTATCTTTTCCGTTAATTTTTGTTAATTCACCGTTCACTTACTCATTGATTTCAATAAGCAAGGTCTTAGGTTCGAACCTCATTCAAATCAAAGTTGGCATAAATAGTACTCTATTTTACTCTTATTAAATTACTAGTTTTTTTACGCGCTTTGCGCGAATGGGATAATGCCAAATGATTATTTTTAAATAAGTATTTCAAAGTATATCAATGCAATATTATATAAGAGATGTTTATGCATAGGTAAATAAATGTTGAATTTGTTTATTTAAATCGGTAATTTAAAGTATATAAATTCAACATAATATATGAGAGATTGATTATAATTGTCACTAAAATAAATGTTTGCATGGTATGGTAACTTTCTAATTGAAGCCATGCAGAGAGGAGACTCGCTCTCTAGCCAACGATCGGAGGAGGATCGCGATCTTCTTGAGCGGAGTACGAAAAAGCCCAAAAGAACCGGTGGCAAGCCAATCGATGGACACGTCGGAGGATCCTCAGGGGATGGTGGAGACCAGCGCGATGGTGCCTACCCAAGTATCTCGTGAGGAAGGATCGAGGACACCACTAACGAATCCTGTTTCGTCTCAGGTACCGGAGCCACTGATGCGAACGTACGCCAAGAGTGTAACTGGCCAAGTCGCACTGTCCTCGTGTCATGCCGTGTAGATTGAAGAGGAGGACCCCAACGACGTCTCCGACGATGAAGGCGATAAACCGCTGTGCCCGACAATCCGGCTGACGAAGGCTGAGGTGGAGGAGATCAGGGCGCCATGGAGGAACACGATTATCATTAAGGTGATGGGCAGAACTGTAACAATCCAAAATTTCATTTTATAAATCCGGTATTAAGAAATCCCAAAACAGCCTTCTTCATCCCATTAAAAAATTTTGCGATCAATCGTTGTTGAATAAAATATTTTCGTCACATTTTAAATTAATTTGACACCAAAATTAATTATATTTCGGAAATTCCTAAATTTTCGTGTACTTCACGTACCAAGATTTTAATCGGGAAATTTATCTGAGTGAGACCGGGAATGCCCAAAAGATTTTAAACAAGGGTTCATCTAAATAGCTTTTTGAGAAAATTCATTTTTCAACCCCAAAGTATTTAAAATAGCATTTTTAGTCTATGGTTCATGTTGCTTGGTGAACCACAAACCTCTTAGCCTTGTCTGATGCTTTTAGAAAATCAACCAAACTACCATTTTGCCCTCCACCAATCATGGGAGAATCTCCTAGGGTTTTGCACCCTATATAACCACACCTTCATCCTCATTAATCCCTGATGTCATTCCCTTGCCTCTCCCAACCTTGTCTGCTAGAAAGAAGAAAGACACACAGTAATCTCCACCATTCATCTCCCTTTGTTTTGATGCTTTCTTTGCCTTAATCCTTTGAGTTCTCTTAGGCTTAGTTTGTTGTTGATGTTTGGGGTGTTTAGGTGGTAAAAAAGTGGTGGAAGTTGAGTGGAGAGGGGGTTGAGATCCAAGCAGGAAGGAGAAGCTACAAGAGGTATAACCCCATAGATTCCTCTTTAAAATTTGGCTCTGTGAAGCCTTAGCATTGAGTAGAAATGAGTAGAAACTATGAGTTTTTGATGTGTTTATGCTTGGAAGTATTTAGTATTTATTTGTGAGTTGTTGAGATTGTTTTGGACTTGTTTGGATTTGATTTTGCAGATGAAAAACCTTCTGGTGCACAACACAATGTGCACCAGATCAGAGTCACGGCCCTAGCCACGGCAAATCAGGAGGGCCGCCAGCTAGAGCCGTACATGCACGGGACAAGGGCACGGCCCGAGGAGAGGGCCACCGCCTAGCCCCGGTGAAGTGACGGGATACAAGGGGCGGACCATGAGGAGTCCCGCCCCAGGTCCCTGACTTTGATTTTGAGAAGAATCTGTGCAGTGGCCAGACCCTTGTGGCTCAGCTACGTGTCGTTTCGGGCTGAGTGTTACGGGCCCTTGTGGCTCAGCTCTTCGGGACCGTCTTGACGCACGTTTTGGCTTTGATTTGGTTGAATTTGGATCTAAAATGAGTATGTTATGAACGAAATTGTGATGAAATACTACACAGAGTATATATTTTGCTATACACTGTATATGAGGAATTGTTATCTTTGTGATCTGTTTGATGATTTTACTAAGTATAGAAGCATGATCATTTGAGAATGTGATTCACTTTTGTAGCATGATTAAATTGTATTATTTGATCCAAGAGAATAGAAGTTTATTTGTTGAAGTGAAATGTATAGAAGTTGCCTATTTGCAAATCGAGCATGACATTATATGTTGTATACTTCATGATATTTTATACATGATTTAGAAGCATGTTATAGAGCATTTTGGCATTTCACATATGTCATATTTCAAAAAAAAAATGCATAAGGGGCCAACGTGAGCCCGAGTATTATTTTCAAAGAACATGAGCATGTGCATAGCATTCTTTGATGCATTTGAGAAGTAGTAAAGTTGTTGCATGCATAAGAGTTATGCATGATATATATATATATATATATATATATCAGTGAGGTTTTGGAGGACCCGTTTGGACTATGTCCTCTCGGATGATTGTTATGGACATTGTGGTCCCAGTACATGTAACGCGGCGTATTCCCACGTTACGAGGTTGGAAACTACCCGCCAGGCTTGAAATCCTGGTAGGGTGTGTGCACATTGAAAGTTCGATACCTGATTCCACAGCGCGTGAACTACGAGATTGGTTCCGTAGACGGTAGGAGATATTGGGTCGGACTTAAGCCGTTCCCGATGGGGCAATTCACGCTACGGTGAAACCCTGAGCCGTCTACGAGCGAAAAGAGAAAGAAATCGAGTCAATAGAGACTCAAGAGAAAGAAAGCGAGTCAAGAGAGACTCAAGAGAAAGAAAGCGGGTCAAGAGAGACTCAAGAAAAAGAAAGCGGGTCAAGAGAGACTCAATAGACCTCCACAGAAAGTACTCTATTTTTACAACGAGTGTACATGAGTATATATATTATATTATTGCACTAGATTGCATAAGAGTATGATTATATTGTTGCACGAGATTGCATATGAGTATGAGTTTATTATTGCACTAGATTGCATAAGAGTATGATTATATTGTTGCACGAGATTGTATGTGAGAGTGATGTATAGCATTATACGAGATTGCATGTGAATAGAGTATCATATGAGATTTTATAATGAGAAGTTTGACTTAAGGTTTTCCATCGAGCATGATTACCTTGTTGTACTAAAAGCTCTATTTATCTAGTTATGTGATGAGAATGTGAAAGCATGAGAACACCTGTTATATGGTTTATTAACATGATCATATATGTAAGTATGAATTGTTTGATAAGTTATTTGAGAAATTATATGCTGATGAATCTAAATGAATAGTCTTATGTATATATGAGCATGCCAGCTGTTATAATAGGGTGCAAGTATCTAGAAAGTACGTGATAGATTTAAAGATGATTTGAGTTGAGTTTTATTGATAAAGACATCAAATGTTTTCAAAGTATACTCTATAGTACTTTACAGAGTTGAGTGTGGTTATACTTAGCTTCGTGCTAACGGGTGTTTTCCTATTTGTCTATGTGTTGCCTGCAAAACCCCTTTCAGGTGGACCCAGCAGTGTGAAGAAGTCGAGTTAGATTAGTCTCGTAGATAGAGATATCTAAACTCTAGTTATTTTGATGATTATGTTTTGATGTTTACGATTATGGATTTTAGACCTTTTGACTTTATGGTTTGAGGATGATGTAGACTTTTGGGGTGATGTATTTCCCCCTTATGTTTCAGTTATTATGATGCATGCTAGACTTTTACTTTATTCCTAGTTTTACCCCTTAGCCTGTGCAATCACCACGGAGTGGTGGTTGTGGCGGTGACACTCCCACTATTTATTTATTAGTTATTTCCACTGCTTAGTAATGTTAATGACTGTTTAGAGTTATAATTAAGAGTTAGAAAAGTGGGGTGTTACAAGAATAGTGGGGTACGCATACCTGCTACATCGGATCCAATCCATGTGGAAGCCTAAAGGAAGCTTAGATCTTATTGCCATTGATAACGACTATTTTATCGTGCGGTTTGGTTCAGTAGATGATTTGGAATACGCCATGTCTGAAGGCCCGTGGATGGTCATGGATCGCTATCTGATAGTGAAGCCATGGGTGCCAGATTTCGATCCCTTCTCGGACGTCACGGAGAAGGTATTGGTATGGGTTAGGGTCCCTTGCTTACCAGCTGAATATTACAACATTATTTTTCTCAGGAAGCTTGGGAACAAAGTGGGAAGGACTCTCCGTGTTGATCAAGCCACGAGCCTGGTCTCACGAGGAAAGTTTGCAAGAATCTCCGTCGAGGTAGCCTACGAGGGCATACATATGATATGCTTCACGTGTGGAATTTATGGTCATGCTCCTGATGCTTGCCCTAAGACATCCAAAGCAGCGCCTGAACCCGAGGATGATCGTCAGAAAGAGGCGGAGGGGTAGTCCAGAGACGCAGGTCAGGCTGTTACGGGAAGTTGGGGAGTCCAAGTTGGTGCAGAACCTTTTGGCATATGGATGATTGCGCCTAGGAGGAGGGCACGTTATAGATCAAGGCAGCCGGAGAAGACTCAAAGGGTAGCAGGGGATAGAGGACAGGGCAATAACACCGTTCGAGATGGCATAATCCAGATGTCCAGATTCGCACCACTGGCGGTGATGGAGGGCGACGGTGAAGGAGGAATGGCAGTGGCAGTGGAGAGGAGCACTGGGACGGAGGGATCAGCGGGACGCGTAGGGGATAGGCCGGAACAGGCAGGAAGGATGCAGGCTACGTCTGTTGCGAGAAACAGTACAAAGAGACCAAATGTGATAGCTTTGGAAAGACAGATAACGAATGAACCTAGCGAAGCAAGTAGACAGCAGAACAAGGGAGGGGAATCAGCTACACGAGCACGAAGAGGTGGTGGAACAGGGCCCAGGCGAGCGGCGGAGGAGGATGAGCATGTGGACATACGATGAGTACAAGGCGGACTGGTGATTTGATCATCGAGAGTGTTCATTGGGGAAGAGGCAGGCGACCTCCCGTCGCCGGTCTGGCAGCCAACCAATGAACATCATGCTGATCCACCAGGAAACGTTGACGACGAGGGAGATGTGATTATGGATCTTGATGGGATCCCGGCGCACAACGAGGATGTTGGGGCCATCAGCAGCCATTGAGTTTTTTTTTGTTCTGCGTGTTCTGTTTTTGTTTGGTTTCTGTTGTTTTGTTTGTGTTTTGGTCTTTTCTTTCTCCCTGTTTTGTGCTTATGAATTGTTTGCTTTGGAATTGTCAAGGGGCGAGTGGAAAGCCGTTCCACCGCACCCTTAAGAATCTGCTTCATGTCCATAAGCCTAGCATCCTTGGGCTTTTTTAGCCTAAAGTTTCGGGCGTCTAGGCCAATAGCATTTGTTCGAAGCTCGGGTTTTCCGACTGGGTCCGGGTGGAAGCCGTTGGCTTTAGTGGGGGCATATGGGTCTTTTGGAAAGACCTGGTACATATATCGATACACTATACTCACCCCTAGTTTATGTTGTTGCAGGTTTCTCAAAGCGGTCATCCCCCTGGGTGTTTGCGCCTGTATACGGAAGTCCGGCTCATCACCTAAGATGCCGGCTATGGAGAGATCTCTCACAATCGAAATGAGGTTTGCAGGGTCCTTGGCTAGTGATGGGGGATTTCAACTCCGTCGTTACAAAGGAGGAAACGACCAATTACAGTTCTTTCTCTACGCAAAGGAGTTTGGATTTTGTGAGCTGGATCCACGATGAGGGGTTTATTGATCTTGGCTTTTCGAGGCCCAAGTTAACTTGGGTAATGGATGGGTCAAAAGATGCTATCAAAGGGGCACGCCTTGATCGGGCCCTTTGTAATTCGGTTTCCAGATGCGATGATGGAACACCTGCCTCCATTTGCCTCAAATCATGCTCGCTTCTGTTACGGCTTCACGGGGGGAAGAAAAATACTACTACTCACCACTTCCGGTTCCAGGCTGCATGGCTCACTCACGAAGATTTGCAAAAAATGGTTTCCTAGGTGTGGAGCGCTGACCAAGTTCTAATTGAAAATGTGTAATAGCTTACCAATGCCCTTTCTGTTTGGAACATGAAGGTTTTTGGGAATATTCACAAACGCAAAAGAGTCCTTATGTCCAGGCTTGGCGGCATTCAATGGATTCTAGCCAATAATTTCCATAGCGGTTTGGTTAAACTTGAAAAGAGGCTGCAAGTTGAAATGGAAGATATCATTTATCAGGAAGAACTGATGTGGTTTCAGAGATCTAGAGAAGACTGGATCACGTCGGGAGATAGAAATACTGCCTTCTACCATGCTGCTACTACTATCCGGAATTCACGCAATAAGGTCACGAGACTTTTAGATGATAGTGGAACCTAGATTTCAGAGGGCAACGGGCTCCGATATCACGTCAGGAATTTCTACTTCAATATGTTTACTGAGACTATGGAGGTGATGAACGGGCCCACCTTGGATGTGTGTTTCCCGCGTCTTTGCCATACCGACTGGATTCTGTTCAACAGGACGATGACGATAGAAGAGGTTCACGAGGCTGTTTCTGACATGAAACCCTTCAAAGCCCTGAGTCCAGATGGTTTCCCAACAGGTTTTTACCAGCATACCTGGGAGGTGACCGGGAACAACATCTTTAAGTTGGTCAGCGATGCGATGAATACTGGCAGGCTTTCGGATGGTTTAAATGACACCCTTGTTGCTCTCATTCCAAAGGTTCGAACACCTGAGACGATCAAATAGTTCAGGCCCATCAGCCTGTGCAATGTGAGTTATAAAATCTTAACCAAGACGATCACTAACAGATTAAAGAATGTTCTACCCCGAATTGTGGGACCTTTTCAAAGTTCTTTAGTCCCAGGACGGCAGATTTCGGATAACGTGATTGTCTACCAAGAAGTTATGCACACCATGCGTGAGACGCGTGGGAAAAAAGGGTATATGGCCATCAAGCTGGATCTTGAGAAGGCATATGACCGGTTATCGTGGGATTTCATTCAGGACACCCTTGAGCGGGCGGGTTTCAACGATACCTGGAAAAACATTATTATAACTTGTATTAGAATGCCCAGGCTTGCTATTATTTGGAACGGGGAAAGACTTGACCCCTTCAGACCAGCGAGAGGCATCCGCCAAGGTGACGCTATATCCCCCGCTATTTTCGTTCTTTGCACGGAATGGCTTAGCCACCTGATCGTGTCCGAAGTTACAAAGCATAGATGGAAAGGAATCAAGTTGGCTTCAACGGGGCGAACCCTGTCGCACCTCTGCTTTGCGGATGATATGGTGCTGTTCACGGAGGCTTCTATGGAGCAAGTGGAAGTCGTCCAGGAGTGCCTGAACGTTTTTTGCAGGGCGTCGGGACAAAATATTAGACTCAGCAAATCCCAAGTACATTCTCAAAGAACACGGAGCCCGGAGTCGGGAACGAGATTGCTAGTAAGTTAGGTATTGCTGAAACTAAAGGCTTGGGTAGATACCTTGGAGTGCCTTCCATTCATGGCCGAGTAACTTACAACACCTACTCGGGCCTTCTGGATCGTATTGCGACCAGACTTGAAGGTTGGAAATCCAAAACCTTGTCTCTAGCTGGGAGAGTGACCTTGGCGAAATCGGTCTTAAACGCTATTCTAGTGTATACCATGCAAACAACAGCACTTCCGAAAGGCATATGCTCTGAAATCGAAAAAAGGACTTGGCGGTTCAATTGGGGAAAGAACGAACAAACTGGGGTGAACAAGCTGAGCCTCGCAAGTTGGGATGTGGTAACAACGGCGAAAGCAAATGGAGGTCTAGGGCTGCGGAGATTGCATGACATGAATGTAGCTTGCATGACCAAACTTTGCTGGAGATTACAGACTGAAGCCAATACCCTCTGGGCGCAGACTCTGACCACCAAGTATAACTGGATAGCGGGCTCTCAAGCCGACACCATGAGCAGACGGAAAACCTCGAATGTTTGGAGGGGTCTCAGCGCTGCAAATGAGACACTGGAGAGAGGACTAACGCATATCGTCCGGGATGGCAAGTCTACAAGGTTTTGGATGGATACATGGCTCACCCCAAAGCCTCTCTACGAGCAGCTTCTCGTTCCGCTAAGCCTACCCAACCTCAACGCGCATGTGGATGAGTACTGGGACCTTGACTGGGGATGGAAATGGGAAAAACTAGAGTAGACTCTACCTCAAGAACCGATGGAAAGACTTGTTGGATACAACTTGATATAGGCAGGTGTGCATGACGAGTGGGGCTGGGGACTGGATAGACATGGCAAATTTTCAGTAAAGTCGGCGTATGGCTTGATCACTAATGCATATGATGACACTACATATAAAGATTGGGCGAAGATTTGGGCTCTGTGGGTGCCGGCCAGAATATCTATATTCCTCTGGCTTGTGAAATATGAGAAAATCGTAACTAATTTTGAACGCGTTAGACACCATCTCAGTTCTAATGAGTTCTATTTTCGATGTGCAGCGAGAGGATCTAAATCACCTTTTCAGAAGGTGCGTTGCAGTGCGTAGCATCTGACATATATGTTGGCCGGACTGGCTCGCGGCAAATCTCTAGGGAGACACGAAGAAAGGGTTCGACGAAGGATGGCCAGAGCGTTTTGGCATCAAGCTGTGGTGGATGTGGCGGTGGAGGAATGAGGACATTTTCAACAAATAGTGTAACACCCCTAAATTTTAAGATATTTAAAGTTTATGAAATCAAGGTAAATCTATTATTAATCATCCAAACAAAGCATAAACTAATCATAAGAGTCGGGGTGATATGCCACATCTGAGCTAGAGAACCCAGATGCACAGGCTACACTATCTTATAAAGCATAAACCATCACGAATATCCAAATGTAAATAAAGGCACGCAGGCCATCTCATCAAGGCTAGAACTATCTAAACTAAGTTCACGGATCCGACTAGCGCGCTCCAAAGCTACTCAAATGGTCCTGAAAAACATTCGGTGTAACAACCGTCAGCGAATAATGCTGGTAACCCACTCCAACGCGTTAAGTACAATATAGGTAGATATAAGAAATCATTTTGAAACTGGAATACATATATACTTACGAGACTCTAATTTAAATCCAAGATCAAGACTCAAGATACAACAATAAACTCGACAATATAGGATAATCATAAAGGCTAGCATGCGTCCTAAGAATACGTTACAAGACATAACATGCAGATAAGCATATAAATAGCAAATAGAGACAACAAAGGCATCCAAGACAATCAGTTAGCAAGTAATCAACAAAGCACACAATCCATCTTCCAACCTTATACCAAGTTCCAACCTTGTAGCTCCCCTCCGTCCTTATGTCAGTTCCAACCTATACCTCCAGGCCACCCTTATATCACCACCCCTTATTCCTCCGGGAAACTACATGCCCCCACCGACAAACCACCTATCAACCACCAACATATCAAGATGGTGCCGCAGTACCATTCACATGATCCGCACCTCTAGTGCCAATATCAAGGGGTTAGTGCATATAGCTCTAACATGACACCGCACCACTTATAACATGACCCATGCTCAACGGCAAGCTAGTCGGAGGTGGGTTTGTGCCTTTAGCACAGTAACCGCTATAGCCTATACCTTTAGTACAATGACCAGGCATAAGTGGTGTCAACCGCCAAATATTCATTTCCACAAATCACAATCTCATCATCATCATCATCATTATTCGCATCGGTCATTGCGCAATGACCACGATACTCATCACCATTCAATCAATCAACACATAATCAAATAACAATCAGGACACAACAACCATGACACGTACTACACATAAATTCCTAGAACGGTATTCAAAACATCAAACGAGACTCACACACGACAAACGGGGTACAACGGGACACAATGGGACACGGGGAAACATCAAACGGGGAAAAATATCACGCCCCACATCAAGTTTCCAGCGGGTGCCCGGCGGGTAGTCGGCTGCCCGGTGGAAAGAAGCTCGGGCAGCGGGTAGGTGGCGGGCACCCTTGCCCCCACCTATCCCTCACTGACTCACAGGCAACTTTCGGTCATGGGATCTCTCGTGAAACCCGAAACCATATCCAGACACATTCAAACACATAACGACAACACCACGTATTCAATTAACGGGATTAAATCAAGAATCATACCAAATACGTTCTAACACGATTCCTAAACATGACAAGACCTAACATTAATCATATAACGGTTCAGGAACATCCTGGACCACAAGAATATCAAGAAATCTATATGCAAGGTCCTAAACACAAGTCCTAGGCTAGACTCAACACCCGATCATGCATAATCCCTCCCAAATATACCAAGAACATCATAATACGAAATTCACGATATAAACCCTAGGGCTCTAGACATAATTAAAATACAAGATCATACATATAATCAATCACAATATCAAGAACATCAAGATTATCAAGTAAGCACAATATAAATCCTACGCAAGGGCTCTATCAAGACTCAATCACAGAATTACACATACGATCATCAAAGGAGCCAATAAATAAGATATAGCAAGAAAAATAGGTTTTGTCGAGACATGGGTTACCTCTTAGCCTTAATTAATCCTCCTTTGGCTATTAAGGTTCTTCTCTAAGATTTCCTTCCGATTGAACTCCCTAGGCTTAGTGGTGGGGAATCTCCCGAGGAATAATTTTGCGTAATACAACTATGGGTGGTAAGGGTTCTAATTGCTTTCTAATCCCCTATTTATAGAGTTGGGAATCCTAATCAGAGTTTGAATAGTAAAGACATATGTTCTACTTCTAACAGGTATATAGGTCTAGGATTCCTAATTAGAATCTGAGTAGTAAAGGCCCACTTTCTTTATTCCAAATAAACTTAAAGTCCTTATTATAAACAAGGGTCCACAGTCCTTCGTGGACCACATTAATTAATTAAGGGATCCTGGCCAGATTAAATCCTTTTTAACTATTCTTTAACGGAATTAATTAAATAATTAATCCAGGATTAAAGTCCGTAACACGGGGTGTTACAAATAGTCTATGCCTTTCGACCAAAAGATGGATTAGCTAAAGCGGTATGACAATGAGGTTACTAGGGCTTTTGAGGGAAGACGATGGCCTCTAAGCAGAAGTGTATTGATCGTTGAAGCTAGACTTGCCTGGTCGAGACCGATGAGGGGATGGTTAAAACTAAATGTGGACGGTTGTTGCAGAGGGGGCGGTGTGGCAAGCTGCGGTGGTGTTATTGGGGACGAGCATGGGGAGTGGCGAAGAGGTTTCATGTATAAAATTGACAGATGCTCGATCGAAGCTACGGAGGCTTGTGGTGTTTTACAGGGACTACGCATAGCGAGAGAATATGGAGCTACCAGAATCATCCTCGAATGTGATTCGAAA